TTATCGATTTTATGCTATAAACAAGATTCACAGCTTAAAATTTAGCCCTACTTTACAGCGACAATATTCACAATGCTGTACATAATTTTATTTTATATGATTAGTAATACAGTAAAACTTAACTTTATAAGTATAGTTTGTTGAAAAATACTCTAATTTTGATAATCTTTTATCATGAATGAGATGAAAGCTAATTTTTGCTTGCATTGCCATCAATATTAATCAATAATAAATTAAAATTTCAGTTGAAATGCAAGTTATTAGGTCAATTTCATGTGTTGGTTTCCATAAGATTAACGCTTTCATTTGATATAAATGAAATTGCTTTTTTTTGTTTACTATTCCTTTGAACAACATGAATCTATTTTCTTGGGCCAATATGCTACCGGCAACTATATCTCTAGTGGGTGAGTATAATATTTTATGCTCTTAAAAGTTTAATATTTAGAAAAAAATTTTTAAGATTAAATATCTTCGTTATAATTTATTTCATAATCATTTCTCAACTTCAATTGTAACTGAAAATATTTGGCCATTGCCTTCTACTAAACTACAGTCTGTAAGTTGAAAAGAACAATCAATCATTTAGTTTATCAAAATTTTATAATTATAATCAGTTCTAATCTGCTATCCCTTTATTCCAAATTATATATTATGAATCGATTCACTTTTACCAAATAAAAGAGAGTAAGTTGAATCATGATGTATACTAATAATGTATAATTTAAATTAAACTTATTAATGTTAGATATTTTTTTTAATCATCGAATCTTTAAAATCGATTTTATATTTGGGGCTATACATATTCAAATTGTATAGCGGGTAAGTAAACTTACTAAATTATTATTAAAATTTAAATAATAACTCTCATTGTTAATTCTTTCGGTATCTTTTCCTGCAGTATAGCATAAATACTTAAGTTAATGTTCTTATAGTTGTTGCCACCATTCATGAGAGTACCTCTAGCGCTACGTATTTTTTATATACGCGCACGTAAAAGCAGCCGTAGTTTGGCTATCATAGCAGCTTTACATTAAATATTAATTTGTTTTTTGACTGTATTAATTCGTTAGAAGTCTTTATTTTAGCTAGATTTGAAATATTCACTGCAATAGCTTAGATAAATATTTTTGGTAAAGGGTATTAATATTGATTCTATTAAATTTGTGAAATTGTATAATTGATATTAACCTCAACGCACACATGAACTAAACCATAAAGCGCGTAAGAGCTTTTCTAGAAATAAATTGATGAATGCTATACTTTATTATGCTTATTAGTTGTATATTGATTAATACCTTATTTTTTTATTTTAATTATGCGACATTAACCCGCTCAATCTACTTAATGGAATGTGTGGGTATTACAGCGCGTAAGTGATAGCTATTTTGGCTAATATTTACATTAGTACTCCAGTCTGTAGAGTACATGTTATCTATAAAATAAACCTTCTGCATTTACGATTTAATAACATCAGCATTGATTTGTAACAGAAATAAGATGCATAGTTATATCGTGCAAGACTCAACTTAATGCTATTAATAGGACCAGATTTAAAATTCTTGTTTCTATCAAAATTTAATTCTTGTAAATTGTTTGTTATAAATCCCAAAATCCTTGCAATCGATATCATCTTCTTCTAAACGGCATAGCATGTAAGTTAAAAATAAAAGCTCTTGAATTTGATTACATATATAGTATCTTCCTGACACAGGATGAATAACATAATATTCTAGTGCACATTTATTAGGGCCTTATTAACAACCTTGATAAACTATTTCGTAATTAGTTTTAATTCTTATTAATTTGAACTGCGATGAAAACTGAAATTTTATTTGACTATCGACGTCAATGAAACTAAACTAAACAGACGGTGAGTTGAAAAAAAGCTATTATATTTCTCTATAATATCAATAATTTCATTATAATTATAATATTTTAATCATTTACCTTATCTGTCTCCAACCCAATCTTACGAATTCATTGATATCGGATAAATTGTAGGGTGTAAGTATAAATTGTTTGGATTATTCATGGTTTTATTTTCCTCTGTAAAAATAGTCGCGATTAAATAAACAAAAACTTTTGCCGTTATTTCGTTAAAAATCCGCAACATTGATTCAATTGTGGCTTGGCTGTTACATTCAAATCATACAGCGAGTGCGTTAGTAGCTGAGCATCATAGCTTTTATTGTTATCTTACTCATATGTTCAAGGAATACTAAACAAGCCCATTAAACTTCTATATTCATGCGATAAATATCAACGATCCCGATAAACATATTAATTTCTGTCTGTTATCCATACAGCGCGTAAGTTAATTTTTAATTATGCTTAATATGATTAAAATATTACATCGTTAGAAAGTAAAGATTAATTATAAAAGACTCATATAATTTGTTACGCAGTTTGCATTAACCGAAATTATTTTAATTTCTCAATCTATGTAATCGTTATAAATTTCAAATATCAACATGAATTCGACCTGGTAGCGTGTAAGTTCTTTGTAACTAATTACAGGAGATTTGCTTAATGTTGTTAAATACCCAGCAGAATAATTTAGAATAATTCATGAATGGGCCTAATATTGTAGTTTCTTTTTACCATGACGCTTATCTCTAAATAATGAAATAATTCCTTTCGCAAAATGTAAATCGAATTAACTATTTATAGCAAGTAAGTCGCAAAATATGTAATTGACGTAACTTGATTAAAAATTTCTTCAAGTGAACTCAGTATAAAGCCTAGGAAGTCTAATAACATTTTCTTATTTTTCTCTATCTTATTGGGAATAAATCTGAATCCGTCGATAAAAATAAAAGACTGTAAGTCAAATGGGCTTAAGCAAATACTGTGGGATATAAATTTTAGCGTGATTTTAACATAGTCTTGGTTTGAAACGTTCTAATGTATTTTACTTTTGGATTACTTTCAATTATATCGCTATTAATGGATCTACAGATTGTAAGTTTGACATTATTGAATGAAGATATAAAAATCAGCTCTTACTGACTGTACTCATTGCGATAAAAAGTAGAACGACATTTCTCTAACATATTGATCATTATGCTTTCAATATATGACACTATTTAAATTTATCTGACTTCGGCAAAAATCATAGTGGGTAAGTTTTTATCCAATTTGACTGCTAGAAATATCCTTTAAGTCAATAAATACTCTTATATCGATCATGGCTAACATTACTTATTATTATTTCTTATAAATTTTTCATGAAATGGAAAATGATTCGGTTTTAAAATTTCACTTAATGTAAAACTTTTAGAGTGTATGTGAATTAGACGACTAGTAAATTCAGTTTGCTAGAAATTGGATATATGTGATAAATTAATGACTTGATTTTTAATTGCAATTTTTTGATCATAAAATGAACGATCCTACTCTACAAATGTTGGTTGTCGAATTCAGGCAGTAAGTTGCAATCGACTTAAAATTCATTCTTAATACCTTATAATTAATAATGAAATTCATCCTAACAAAGACTACCATATTTATTTATAAATGATACATCCTGAATTTTTATGAAGTCCTCTACGGGCTAATTTCGCGAGGGTGAGTGTATTAAAATTTTCATATCGAACGAGGTAGTGAATGAATCTGACTACAACTTCTAATGCTTTCTTTATTAATCATTCTGATTTAACGATTGAATTGCTGCAACTATCCAATATTACTATAGCCCGTTAGTTAACAAGACCACACGTATTTCATATTTTGTAGTATAAACTTGAGGATCATAGCTGAAATTGTATGATGTTAACTTAACCGTCTTTTCATCACTAAATTACGCTTTAATAGCAGAATAATTGAGCAAAACTAAGCTGGGAAAGTTTAACTTTAACGTAAATACTTAGTCATTAACTATAAGGTAAAAATGATTATCAAATTTAGTAACGTAGGTTAGATTTTAAGATCATATAGCCCCTGATTATGAAGGATAGTCTATAGCATATGAACTGCAGTGTTTGAATATTATACCTTTTGTAGGCATTTTAGATAAGTTCGTTAGACCAAATACTGGTTTTGCACTACGAGATCTATATCAATAGGAAAAGTAAGTTATTCATAAACAAGAAAATTATGGAAGCTATTAAGACAACATAGTTACAAGCTTTGATAGTCCGTGGTATTAGAATTAATTCAGGCATTTATGACTAGGTTTAGTTAGGAATTCAGATCTTGATGGAGAATTTCGAGATACTAAGAGCATGTCCATCACTTTTTCCGTGCAAACTCTATGTTTCTTGCTACTGTAGAGCTAAGATAATCAGCTGCAAATATTTTCAAAATAGTATGCTATGCATTCTTAAAAAAGACTAAGCTAGTAGGAATGAATGAAATTCTTACAAGTATCTGCTATTCCTAATGCCTAATAGGCAATCATTGATAAATACACTGATTTATATAAGATGGAGCAATTTTATAAGAAGGCTTAGTCATGTCGCACTTTTTTTGAGATACATTATTAGGTAATGATTTGCATTTAAATTTACTATTCAATTTGCTTTTTAATTCTTGTAATTACTATTAAATTCCCTATTAGGAATAAATGGCAAGCTTGCATATGGCTTTAGTTGAAAATTAAAAGCGATTTTTGGCGAACAAGAGCGAATTTAGTTATAGCGACGGATAAATGTTGTTGAATTTACATTATAATTACAAGATAGATCTATAGCATTTATCATTAGTGAGGGTTATGTTGTGGTATAATCAGGAACGTATTAATATTCTATCCGATTAATTGCAAATTTCATAGCTGTATAACAATTACTTATGTCATCTTGGTTTACATTGGCTAATTTCATACACCGATGGTATTTAAAATGTTAATCAATACACTTAAAGGCAATTTCTTACGAATTAATACTAACAATAAACATTTCAAATTGATTGTATATGTAAGGTGTCACGAATAACCTGTTAAAGAACCAATACTTTGTCAAGTGTAACTAATGATTTCTGAAGTAAAAATCGGTGGAATCTACAGTTCAGCTTTTGAGATAGAATACACGCAGTGAACAGGATTGTAGAATTTAAATACAAAATTTACCGTAACAAACTATGTAATAGCAAATGACGGTGGAAAATAGCGAAGATTGTAATTGTTATAAATAACTAAGCACAACAAGCTATGTTCGAATAGTGTGTGAGGAGACTGTAAAGATATCTACATTTTAGTACGATACAAAATGTCTATATTCTGTAATGAAAAGTATCAGAAAGAGCTAAATCGCGATCTCATCTCTGAGACGTATTTCAATATCACCGTAATCTATAAATTCGAGGAATGACGGATGCTGTTGTAAAAATTTTATTGAAGATGTTATTTCTACCGATTACATATCAATCATTGACCGGATACCAATCGATATTGAAGGAATGGATATTAGTCTTACAGTTTCTTGGTCTATTAAATTTACTTTAGAATTTGATAAGATGCCAAGAACTCTTACGAGTGAAGGTGAAGTAAGCGAAATTCATAGATTAGTCTTGATTTTTAATTCTTAAACTAATCAATGTGCAAACAAAATACCGTAAGAAAAATTATAAAGGATATTCAACTTATGGAGCGACGTAAGCAAACAAAATAATTAGATATAAAAGGAGATTCATCTTATAGAGCGATGCATAAAATAATAAGATATGAAAGAATATTCATCCGTCTTACAGAGCGATAATTTAAAACTGAGATAGCATTGATAAGATGAATATTCCAGTTATTCCCATAGAATGATATAATATTAGGAACATGTCAAGGATTATTTTTTATTTGGAAAAAGTATGCTTATGTGATATGAAGAAGTTTTGGTGTAGTAAAGTATGTACTGGGTTTGTAAATGTCAACTTGCTGTGTAATCGTGCACTTTTACTAGGCTACCTTCAGCCTAAATTTTGGAGATTAATTAAGCATTCAATTACCTATTATACTCAAGTGAGATATTTACAATTGCAAACGTGAGATGTTTCATGTGCAATTTGGTGAAGGAGCGTATTTATTTTCTACGTTTCGATACATTTTTGTATCAGTAAACTGATGAGACAGATACACGAGAGCTCTAAAAACAATTTTTAGCGTATTTCTACATCACTATCACCAGCCGGTAAACTTAATCTATAATTGTTGTCACCGATACTCTATTAAATCTCTGATTTACCAACTATGAACTTTAGTGTAAATTATTACCATTTAATTAATCGTTGAAAATTCAAATCAGCAATTTAAATTTCGACTATACTTGCAAGATTGAAATGTATAACCTTCCTACTACTACTAAATAAGAATCTAATTTTACCATGCAAATGTATGGACTTACAATTAAGCTAATAAATGAATTTGGAATTGTATACCTGGTACAGCTTTTAAAATAGAAATCAGTTTACTTTTAGACGATCATAAGAGCAATTGCTTGGGCAAAATGTTCGTCATCATCGTGATTTATAGGTCATCCAATATGTATTGCTAATGCTGCATGCAATTATACGTCGATTATTTGATAGTATGCCTTGTGTGCTGCCGTATTATGCAATATGTAGTAATAAGTGATTTATTTAATAGCTGACCTCTCCTCATTAATCGTTCCTGAAATAAAATTAGTCTCTACCTAGCAATAATTAATTTCTATGTGTCCTCATTATGGATTTCTAACATACATGAACAGAGGACTGAGAAGAACGGCATCCAAATTGATCAAAAAGAATTTAATGCACCAAAATATACTCGTAGATTTTGTATGATGTTAGTTTACTTTCAAAATTTTACGATGTAATAAGACACATAAATTGAACTATCGGGTAGTCATACTTATTTTATTTTGATTTTATTATTTTAATAGTGAATTCCGTTAGTTTGGATATAGTATAGCCTGTTAATCTATTGATCTCATCTTGAGTCATAGAAATAAGACAATATTGTTCTATCTATAAACCATATGGTTACAAGATGGTCATACGAATGATGCATAAATAATATTTTCTATTTGTATAAGTAACCTTCATAATCTTATGAAAATAGTTTAATTTAAAAATTTTCACTTGAGCTCTATAGGACAGTTTCACTTGATCCAGCATAGCTGTAATATATCAAGAATTTTGGGTTGCATCATTGGCATTATATTTTTAATTCAGGAAGTTTAAATTAAATCCATTTCGATCATCCTTATTAGCATCTTTAAGATTAAGAAAGATATCCAACTTGTTAAGGAAGATTAATTTAAAGCAATAGCATGGCTTTTGAAAGATTCACACCATATTCATTTACAAGCTGTGCTGTAATATTAATCATTGCTTTACTACCTTATTCTAACACTCAAATTATCATTCCTACTACAACTGGTTTAGTTAGTGGTAAAATAGTGAACACGAATGGCGTTGATCAGTTCGCCTATCTCGGCATTCCTTACGCTCAACCGCCTGTCGATCAACTACGATTTAAGCCACCAGTACCAATAGATCAATGGTCTGGCATTTTAAACGCTACAGGTTATAAAAATAGCTGCCCTCAACAAACACCCATATCTCTTTTAGATCCAAATTCAACTGAAATGCAAATCAGTGAAGATTGTCTTTACCTCAACATTTTCACACCTAATCCTAGTAGTGCCGGAAATAGGTCAGTACTCATATGGATACATGGCGGTGGATTCAGTTATGGAACCGGCTCATGGTGGCAAGGGCAAATGTTGTCTGCCAACGAAGATATCGTCGTGGTTACAATGAATTACCGACTTGGAATCTTTGGTTTTATGACATCAGGTGAAAAGGATGTAAATCAAAGATCTATTCCAGCAAATCTAGGTTTACAAGATCAAAATTCAGCCTTAAAATGGATTAACGATAATATCGAAAATTTCGGAGGCAACAAAGATCAAATTACAATAGCAGGCAACTCAGCTGGAGCTGTTGCTGTTGCCAATCACCTAGTTATGCCATCTAGTAATGGATTGTTTAGGCGTGCTATCATACAAAGCGCAGTTTTCAGAGATTCACCATCCTATTATAAAGCTAAATTGACATCTGAGTTTACACTTTCCGATGCAAACAAATTCTTTGCACAATATAGTATGGCAGCCAAATGTTATAAAAACACAACAATAGAGACTGTAAATTGTTTAAAAGCTTTATCAATCCAACAATTATTACAAATTCAAATGAGGTTTTCTGGAAGTAATCCATATTTCCCCGTTGTTGATGGTGACATAATACCAGAATCAACTTATAAAGCTTTTGCTTCAGGAAAGTTTGAAAAGGCCGACATTATGATAGGCACAATGCTAAATGATGGCTATTTTTTCTTATTATTTCTGCCTAATATTTCACATGGGATCTCACGAAATCAGTTCAAAAACTACATTAATACTAATTTTCCAGCAGCAAGTGAACGTATAAAACTATCTATCCAATATCAATATACCGACTGGGCTAATATTAGCTCTCCAGTCGTAAATAGAGATCGATATGGCGATATGTATAATGACTATTTCTTTAGCGTGCCCAGTGAAAATTATGCAGAAGTATTTTCTCGATATGTACCAACCTATCTCTATATATTTGCTCATCGAACTGCAGGAACTTCGATGCCAGCATTTGTTAAGGCAGTACACACTTTAGAGATCTCCTATGTTTTCGGCTATCCATTAGATCCACCCGCAAATTTTCCAGAAAAATTTGATGATACTGATCGACAAGTATGCCGACAGGTTATGTCATACTGGGGCAACTTCATTCGTCAAGGGTAAGTAGCCTTTCAGCAATTACTATCTATGTGTGAATATAGTGTTGTAAATTAGATTAACAATCGTAGCAATGAATAATTGCAAGTCTTACGTTAAAACTGGAAATAGCTATGGTAGACAAAATTATAGCGCATAAATTAAATTTTGCGAATTCTTAACTAGTGATAGACTGCTATAGAATATATAATGATACAAAGTCAATCATCAAATAATTGCCTTTCCTTGATTACGATGATTAAGGAATCCGTCAGATTCAACCTCTGCACTCGCCTGGCCAAGATATGAACAAACAAGCAAAGACTACATGTGGATTGCACCTAAATTAGCAATTAAAAAAAATTACTACAGTAAGCAAGTTGCATTTTGGAATCAATATCTTCCGCAACTGGCTACACTCACAACTGCAACTGTACTTCCAACTCCCAAATCAACAACGACAAGTACAGGATCACATTCATTAGAATCCACATATATGATTGCAATGTATGTTCTTGCAGGTGTTGCCGGATTATTATTGCTTATTGTAATTATCCTACTTTGCAAATTAAATAAAGGCAAACGGTTATATGTTGTGTAATAATCTAACTTTGATTGATAGTCGAATAAATAGAAGTTGATCTCGTTACGATAATATTTTACATTTATCAAAATTTGCTGGTTGCTATAATGTTAAATGGGAAAATATTAAGTATTAACTTAAGTGTGGAATTGTTGGACTTTCAAAGTAACTTTCTGATTATAAGATCTTAAAGAAATTAAACACGTGCTTTTCTGTTTTCATAAAATTGGTTTAAAACCACGGCCAAATTTTAAATAAGTTACCATCGCTTTAAAGATCGAGATAACATGACTTTGTGTGCTAAGATTTCACTTTTAGATACCGCTACCATTTATCGCATAATATTTATAAAAATGTTTTGTTGGTCAGATTATGTAAGGGTTTGTAGTAGTTAAAAATTCGATTTATTCGTGGATGAGCTAAATAAAGGACATTGAAAACTAGCATGCATGCTTTGTTACTGCTACTTCTCTGATTTCTTAGAATAGCCATATCATGAAGTTTAAAAGTTGGCTTTTTAATAAGAAACATTTAATAATCAAGCAGTACACTGTATACCAGTAAAATGAGCTTATGGATCAATTTATATGAGTACGGAATATCTACTAATTCATAAATAACTTATAATTATGCTCGGTTAATTAGACAATAATATAGCCTAGAGTTATTAAATTTCTTGATATTAGAAAATATTTCTTGATAAGTGATGTTAATCAGTACTAGTTCAATTAAATATTTCAAGTTTAATGATATCCTATTACGCAAACTTACGTAGATTTTTCTACTAGCCTCATTGCATATTGAGCCCGCTAATAACCTGAGATCAGGAATAAGCAAATTGTTCTAAATTATAGTACTACTATTTCTTTATTAACATGGTTAATAATTATAAATCATAAAATATTCTGATGATAGCAGATTATTTAGCTACAGCATTAATATGTATGGTGGTTTGGTATTATCACTAAGATGACTAGAAAGAAATCACTAATGGCTTGAATCATTGACGGAAGAACAGAATACGTATATTTCGGTGATGAAATACTGCTTTAAAGATATAGAGCAAGTATAGCAGTCCAATAAAATTGTGAAACCTGCCTACAAGGATTAATAAATTGATTCCTATTTCAATTTCAACTTAATAGAATAAAATTTTCTTTCATATCGGATTGGAAGTAGAACGTTAAAACGATGCTTTAGACTAGAAGTTTTGAAGTAATTTCTATAGTTTTGGATTCTTGCATGTTCCGAAAAAAATTTAAGGTCTCAAGAGAAAGAATAATTCATTGCAAGCAGAGTTGCACTCCAACAAAATTTGACATTGATAATTTCTCCATTGTACCAAATACTAACAATATTGTTTTGATAATAAAAGATACGAAAGTTGGCATTTAAATACTCGAAATCAATTGATCAATGAATGCTACATTGAGGTAAATTATCCAACACCATTGATCCTTTGCATCTCTTTACACCGTAACTTTTTTGTTGGCCAATAGACTGAACCTGGACGCATGAAAGCTTTATTCCTTTAATGTGGTAATAAACGCATGTTTACTACCTAAAGATTAATATCGCGGCTTATATAAATACTAGTTAAATACCCGTTCAAATTTACGGGAAAAAATTACGAACTAAGCATTACATTAAAGGGAAATTCACAGCTAGATTATCCTTGTATATATAAATCACTTTCTGATTTAAGTATGAGCAATAGAGAAATTTCAACCGATCCCAAGGATAACAGCACCTCCATGAAAAAAAACTTCTATGCAACCTGTAGCTATGAAAGTTAGATGTAGATGTAATTCGACCGATCATGATTATTTAATAAATTCAATTATCTATATTGACGAATATTATTATTTCGCATTTCATGGATACATTTTTGGACGCATTGCAGGCTTACCTGCCATTAAGCATTGTCACGATAAAATGGACAACGATTTCGCTGATGATTGCAAGAAAATAAAACAGCTTTTCATGTAGTATCCGCTATATAAGTTCAATCAGTTCGATTACGGTGTCGTTTCTGGTTTTCCTTAAAGTTACAAGCATCATCATCTTACCCGAATAGCAGTTCTACTAACACTTTCTACTTTAATTATACTATGGTTCTTGCATCTACTTCATTGTAGTATAATTCAGATCATTTGTAGCATTTTATATACAGTACGTAAAAACTTTAACGATAATGGAGGCGTTTTATTGATCACTGCATTTCTCATGTGATCAATTACAATCATCGCTCGCCCTAAGCCTGATCGATGCTTACTCTACTTTAAATAATTGATTACGATTGATTCTTGGTATTTTTATTAAGTTATCATCGATGTGTTGAACTACATTATACAACGATACTACTCTATCGCTATACAGATAACGCTGCAAGTTCATGTTATTTTTCTTGTTGCCATGTTGTATTATAACTTCCAGGTTTACCTTCATAAATTTCATTTTAATGTAGTAGTGCTCTAGCTGTTAATCCATGCTGCTGCTTCATACCTTATTTACCCCTCGTTATCCCAGTTAGTAAACTTTTAGGTTAACATGAAAATTTTCAGTTTTTCTCTAAGTTGATAAGTATAAGGAGAATTTGAACAGAACAGTAATTCGCGATTATGCTGGTATTGTATGTTAAGATGTCTTTTCTATGGACTTTTATGCTCCTGAAGTTCGCCATGTACCAGTAAAATGAACTGATGAAAGATATTCAAACCTGTTAATTCGTAAATGTCTTATAATTACACTCGAAAAATAATAAAAAATAGTTTAGCTCAGGGCTATTAAATTATTTGATATTAAAGATTACTTTTGGATAAGTGATCTTGATCAGTAGCAAATTCAATTAAATTTTTTTATTTTTGATGGAATCACGATGTACGTAATCCCACTTGAGTAATTTTTTAACCTGGATTATTTCATATTGAGCGCATTACATAACCTGAGATCTGGAACAAGCAAAGTGTTTTAAGTTAGAGAATCATACTGTCTTTTATGATTAACATTGCTAACAATTATAAACTGTTCTGGTGATAGCTGATTATTTAGCTACTATACTAATTTATGTCATTTTATGGTACTGCTACTAAGATAACTAGAAAGAAATCAAAAATGATTCAAATCATTAATGAAAGAACAGTAGCCCTCTACTTTAGTAAGGAAGCAATGTTTTAAGAACGTAGAGCGAGTATAGCAGTCCACTAAAATTGTTAGATCAGCCAACAAGGATTAATAATTTGATTCTCACTTCAATATCGACAGAATAAATATAATTTTCACTTCCATATCGAATTGGAAGTAGACGTTAATACGACACTTTCGATTAGAAGTTATGAGGTAATTTCTATAATTATCGTTTTCTTGCTTGAAGTGAAAGAAACTTTAAGATTTCATATACTACTAACACTACATTATTAGTGCTGCCTGTCTTCATTTACAATGGGCGGAGCTGAAAATGCTGATAAATCATTTCGTTTCTATAGCTTAGAAGATTAGATGACCTTGTTCATGATTGATGAATCAGGAAGTCTTACTAGGCGATTTAAAATATTTAGAATGTAGGTCGATGCTCAAGTTCCGTTTCTTCAAAATAGTCGTTCATCAAACGATTTAGTAGAAGAGGAAGTTTATAGTTATCTAACAGGAGCAATTTCTAGAATCAGCATTCAACTCTTTTGTTAGCAATATATAACCAATTACGAGATCTAATTATTTGTCATACTTAAAGGTAATACAAATTTGAAAATGAAGAGTAGAATAGAAAAGAATTATTTTAGAAGGGATCATTGGAAGTTGCAATTAGAAATGAGCTTGATGCCATCATTCAGTACGGCATAGTGCCATAAAACATGTCGATTTCGTATTTCGTAAAGCTTGGATTCATGGTTGGCAAGGTAGCTAACCAACGCCCGCGCATTCGTGTATTATGTCAGGTTCTAAAGCTAGTTGAAGTTGTAATCGTAATGTAAATAAGATTAATAGTACACAGTCTTCTCTTAATTGATTACCTTACCCAATAGGATTGGCCAATTTTGCTATTTTTATGTGCACGTAAATAAAGAGCATTATTGTCACAGAATGAGTTATAAGTTAATTAATAACTAATAAATCTCTTCAAGAAATCTGCCGTAAGGATTCTGGAAATAAATCCTACCAAACAAGCATTCGCTAACCAATGGTTATTAACAGCGAATATGACAGTCGATGCAAATTGTAATGCGAGGGAATACAGGATAAACACATCATTATCACTACTTGATAGATTACCATAGCAAATCTATCAAAATGGTTTATGATCGCCGTTATCTAACAGTAAGGATATGATAAAGGATGCTCTTGTCAAAGAATCAATTGTAAATCAATTATTGGCTGATAGAATAATTAGCATCAATCAGGTGATCAGGGACAAGTTCGGACAAATAAATAACATTAGTCACGACAGGGCTGTATATGCGTAAATTGAACATGTGGCCATTTGTAGGTTTGTAACTCCGCTTCTGTTTAAGAAATTAAAAAAATCTTTCCTTTTAGAACTAGTTCTATCATCAATAAATAGCGCTATGCCGGTGGTACTATTTAGTGGATCCTTCTCGAACAATCGTGGTTCTACGGTAACTCATCTCAGTGTTGTGCTCATTTTAATGACAGATAAATTGGATGCAATTGATAATAATAATATTACAACAGGACGACAATGTCCCTAAGCTTCCACGAGTGGATTGCAGTCAAACAGTGTCCAACATAATGGAAGCCAACCAATCAAAGATTTGCCAAAATATGCCAATATCAGTCATGCGTCAAAAATTGGTAGAATATTCAGTCATTGAGGAAGACAGTTTGCAACAAACGAATGAGAGTAGTGATGATGATAACGAAATGGCAAATTTAATATTGGAGAAGTTGGAAAATAGCGGAGATCGAGGGTTTTATATCTTTTGCAATATACTAAAGGAGCAATCGGATGAGCAACTCCGATTACTTGGCTTCCAACTTAGCGATGAAGCAAAGCAAACCATGGGCCTTTCGAATGATGGTACCCTATTGCATAGAATTGTATTTTGAATATTGAATGATTATAATATTGGCTGAATTTTATATAGATGCATTTGTGATTTTCTGTATCTGATTGTTTCGTTTTTACTTGATGTTTTCATACAAGTTCTGTTAGATCATATTGATAAACATAAATGCTATTTATGTATCACACTATAACAACTTTACTGAATTTTCTGATGCTAAATTCATGTTCGTCATATCAATGATTTGTTAAAATGCATTAAGATAGTCGGCATCATTTCGTATCAGTTACAGATAGCTATCCGATACCTTTGCTAAATATCAGTTTATGATAGTGTTTAAACAAAATGATCGTATCTAATCTATATCATATCATTCTCAACAATCTTTTATCACTTACAGACCTCCTGCGAAATGTTCCTCCTTTACCACAACATCATTTTATCGTACGAAACGATTTTGCTAATCAAACTGCAATTGCAATTATGAAAATTCACGCAAGCGGTGGTAGACTACTCGTTCATGGTCCTTCTGGCACAGGTAAAACTGTTGCCGTAAGTAACTCTTTACAATATGTCATTAGACAGAAGGAGCAATTTCTACCTCATGGCGTCTACTGGGTTAAAATTGGTAAGTTTACATAACGTCAATTCGATCAAGTGAAATTGCTACTTTAATTTGAATGTATTGCTGCTGGCATGTTATAAGACGGAAATTACATCATTAGATATTTTGGTTCAGTTTTCAAAATCAGATTTAAAATTTTAAACGTGTTTCTTCTTTAAATTGCACAGGTAAGGTAGATGAACAGAAATTGTTTGGAATACTGTATAATTTGGCAACTAAGCTGAGAATCAAACCGCAAACTTTTCCGAACTTAAAGAAGCTTAATCAGGCAATCTCTAGTCATTTTGTGGGTAAACAATACAATTCTACGCTGATTACATTACGATGATTGTGCCAATTGCCTATGAAAACAACTATTCTATCATTTTTATAATGATAAAGTTATTCAATATGCGGATATGACAATAATGGTAGAAAAATAACTTTACGATTTTTTTCAAAATTATAGTGAATTCGGATTTATCCTTTACCTTATTCGTCTTTGATGAAGTGGAAGAGTCATCCTATTTGAATTATTTAACATTCGCTAAAAATTGTGTCGTTATTTCTACCCAGTCTAATCAAGCTATGGTTGAAAAATTCGATTACATTACTCAATCTCAGGCTAGTTTCCTAGTCGATATATAAGTTTAGCCTCGCTAACTCTGCTTAGGTGTAGTAAAAGTGCTTAATAAATTGATAACTTAGCTTATACGAGTAAATCCATATCGTATTACAATAGTTTTCTAGCTTAAGTAGCTATATGTATGCGATTAATGCTCTTGTGATAATAATTATAATAGGAGAGCTTTACCCAACAAGAGGCTTCACAGATAATAGCCTCATTTCAAGAAAGTGGGAAAACGGAACCATGGATTAACGATGACGTAGTGAAAAAAGTAGTAGAAAAGTACCGATCAAGTCCGCAAGCAATCGCTTTAATCGGTGGGACTCAACTGTCATCCTTAGACGAATGGTTAGATATTCAAAAATTTACAGAATCGGAACCGGTAACCACATTTTCACATACTTTTTTCACCATGGTCATGAATAAACTACCTACAAAGACAAGGGAATTGTTTTCCTTGCTGGGTGTATGTTACAGAGTTGAAATTCCCATTTCCACTGTCGCTATAATATGGAATCTACCGGTTAATGAAGTATCAGTCATACTGCAAGAATTACATCGACGATCATTGCTATTTTATTTTAGTAGCAGTAATAAAAGGTAAAAATAATAACAGCTAATAAACGTAAACCATACTTATGGAATCAGGCATTTATACTGAAACAAAATAATCTCTATCTGGGCATCTAAGTATCAAAATATATTTACTAAATCATCTCAATCATACGGAATTATCACATGATATTATATTACATGAAGTAAAAGTCGTTACTCATAAATAGAAATATCAGATTGCAAGGTCATCATGAAATGGGATCTAAATTGATCATTCAAGAGGGAATTTTAAATTTTCATTTCGCTTCCGCTTAATTTCGTGTCTTATTAACTATCTGTTACCGAATAATTACAATTTATTTATAATCATCGAGTAGATATTACTAATTGAATTTTACGCTAAAATTTGTAGGGGTTACTGTCAAATCAATAACTTGATCTTGGACTATTTTCAGCAACCTTCTAATTCGACGTATGTTTCATCTGAGTTTATCAGAAATCTGCATCGTAATGTAATTAACCGATATCAATTACATTGCGATGAAAATTGGATAATACAAAATGATGATGGTTACTTTTATCGCTATTTTATTAATCATCTGATGGCTGCTGAAAAAGATGATATAATTCAGCAAATTTTATCCAATGTTGAATGGATTAACAATCTGTTACAATTACTAAAACAGTCTTCACTTTTATATGCTTACTTGGATCATGTTCAAGACTATTTGAATAGTAAGGTAAACTAATTGTATAAGATTAATTTTATTTGTTGAATACTTCCTCCATAGAAGTTGATGCGTTGATGCACACTTGAGAAATATTGTCTTTAAATTTTTAAAGAGAGAGAGTCTAAATTATTCTTTCATTTTTTGTAAATTTAGAATATCATAGATATAGCACAATAGCTTCGCAACTAGTAAATGAGTTTGAAAGCTTTTCCTATTGATTGATATTTGCAGACATGCCGATGCGTTTCTGTAGCCCTTAGAAATGTTTTTGTAACATATTTAAGCACATTCGCTTTATAAAAGTCTTTAAAATTTTGTAAAACTGGACTGTTTTAAATCAATGATATAATTAAACTAAGGCTGAAAATTTTTAAACAGAATTTAGATTCGACCTCCAAGCCATTAGAATTCTTGAGAAAATACGAAATATTTCTACAGGGAAGTTGCCCTGATTTATTGCAGTTAATTTTAGATTTTGCACCTAGTGATAATCCCCTCTATCAACAAGCATACGAAAGCGCCTATCGATTAAGTGAGGAAGGGAAAGGCCTTTACATGAAATTAAGGTTGAAATAAATCTTTACTAATTTTCCTATTCAATGTTGGCAGATTTTGAAAAAGAGTTTTTATATATCTGTAGGCTAATGTTTATCTATCTTATGATGCATAGCTATACCCAAAGTAGGAAAGCTGATAAGTTCTATGATATACAGAATTTGCCTAAGGAAGAAGATGTGAATGTAAATGAATCAATTTAACTTTATTTAAGTTCCTTTTCATGTCATTGTCGTATGCTACATTTAATTTAGAGTAGATACACAAATACAGTGTACATAATCTCCCTTATATTAATCAAAGCCTAACTTACATAGCGAAAGGAAATAATGATATATCTATTTTTGAGTATTGAATTGTTGATATTCTTCGTAGTTAATGGAATTGGTTATCGAAAGAGGTAACACATATACCCCGTTTGAAGGCAGAATTTATCAATTTGCAGAGAGTTTCGATCATAAAATCAAAGCGCGTGGATTTGGCCCAGTAAGCAATTCATCAATTTTGCCCATGTACCTGGCTATGTTTTATGTATCATATTGTTTTTGTATAAATCGAGGAGAAGGAAGATTGTTATGCGTTAATAGTACAATACTTTTAGGAATCTATTTAGAATATATGCGACAAATGTTTTTAAATGTTCACGCTATAGCGGTTAAGTAAATGACAATGATTTTTTGATATAGAGCACTTTTTCTCCTTTACGAAAGAAATGGTCATTAGAAAATTTATTAACTGATAATGTAGCAAGAATACTTATCGATAAGATGCCATTTTCTGCACTAGCTCACTCTTCATTGCAATGGAGACAGCATTTACTGTTTGTTGATGCAATATTTCAAAATTAATTAATATTCTTTTCGTTAAAAATTTTTTCTTCATTGCAATACAGGCAATAATTGCTGTTTTTTTTGAAAAGTCATAAATTATGAAAGTAGTAATAAGTTTCTGTAAGGCAGTTATATTTTTTTTAAGATAGGCTGGCATAATCGCTAGCATATGCAATATTACTGTATTTATTAGTAAGACACCATAAAAATGTATCATTAATTTTAAATTACGATTTTTGGACAGCATTTATTCTTTTTTGCAATATGTTAGTTATTACTATTTATTGATGCTATGTTACTATGATTTCTAGCGCTACGGGATGAATCTGTACCAATACAGTTGGGATGTTATTTCTGTTGAAGAAGGATTGCAATTGCCATTTATTCTTCAAAATGGCGAAAAAGCAATACACTTAGAGGCTTGTACCATCCAGTTTCTTGAAAAAAGCAATACGTCGTTTATGACTATTTCTGCAGAAAAGCATCAATTGCATGTGAGAAAATAACTTAGTCTTTAATCGGATTTAAATTAGACAGTAACTGTTAGTAAATTCGCTAATGATACTCTAAATTTGGCTTAGCTACAACTTTAGAATGGACGAGATAGAATAATTCCTTGCTTTAGATTCAATCTTATCATATGTTCTTACGCTCAATTTTCAAGACTCTAAGTTGTAAAAAGCATTATTAATAGTATCATCCAACGATGTTAAATATTAAAAGATTTAGCTTTATTTATATCGTAAGACGGTTAACCTAGACTTATCAAAATTTTTTATCTAAATGACGATAGCTATGGGAAATAAAAGATGGAATGATTCATTGCAGACGAAGTTCTACCAATACAGAATTTTACATTAACAACTTTTCCTTTGTACCAGACACAACAAATATACTAGTAGCAATGGAAAGATATCAAAGATGGAATATGTATATGCCCAAAGATTTGATCAACGAATGCTATATTGAGGTCAACTATTCTACACTAATTATATGTAGTGTACAGTAGTTTCTTATTATCCCTTTGAAGGCATTTCATAATCTTGACTTCTCTACTGCACTAACATACGAGTACTTCTATCTCAAGATTAATATCTCAGTATATTATACGTACCGTACTAATTAGTCCAGATCAAGCTTAATAAATTCATTTATCCTTTCAGGTTTGGACTTTGGAAAATCTTCAGCCTATCTCAAAGATAACAGTACCTGCTCGAATTAATAGTTCACTTAAACCTCTGACTGGAAAGCCTGATCCAAGCAATCATCTAATATCTTATGTTGGTCATTTTGATGATAGCCATTATTTAATATCTTATGGAGGCTTGGGCGGCTTACTATCGATTAAAGATTGTCAAGATAAAACAGAGAAAGATTTTGCTGATCATTGGTCTAAAATGTTTAAGATAATTCATAATAATTACACTCACCTTGCTATATCAAAAGACAAGAAATATTTGGCTGTTCTGACCTATTTTGGAGATGTTCTGGTAGGCATACCGTAGCAAAAGGACTATTAGAAGTCTTAAGCTATTTAGAATATGCTATAACATTGATTGCTTAAATTAAGGCACTGTAACCAGTTTTAATCCAATTTATGAATCTTGTAGATATGCAGTAGTTCTGTCTTTTTGTGTGCTATAACTCATCTTTAAAGCTCCTCCGCCTAGTATTGCTTCATGCCATAAGTAGGATCCCGTTCTTATCCAAAAGTTTATGATAAATTCAAATATATTACCTTGGTACTGCATAATGAGCTGAAATAGGGTAGCTCCATGTGCATATCCGTACGATTTGTTTCGTGTTTTATTTATTACTTTAGTTTGTAGTAACTTTTTAAAGCCAATTTGACCATGTTAAATTGTTACTCAATGGTGATATAGTAACTATTCATCCAATATCATACTGCGATTTTCGTAAAATTATCTTCCTTGTTCTAATGAGCTCCCTCTTTCCGTCTTAGCATGTTTCCAACCTTACTCTGATAAACTTAAACATTTAACAACAATTTCTTGTTAGCCTGACTGCTTTCTAATTATTTTTGATCACCTCATTCATTTTAGATCTATCAAGTTAGTGCTGATGAGGTTATATATTACTCCTTCATTGAATGTCAATTTGGTAGTTCCCAGATATTTTTTGTAGATGACAGTTACAATATTATGGCCGACTTTGGAAACTCTCGCCTTTATTACACCTTTCCCAGTAAGTCTTACAACGATTAATAATAACTATAGTTGAGAAAGATTTCCTCAAATTATTTCTGAGCTTGGTGGTGCATTCTACTTTTAAGCTACACAAAAATCAATGCCACCTCATAGACTTGCTAATGCCGATAGAAATTGCAATTCCCAAGTTCCCAAGCAAAAGATTGTTAATAATGCGCTAGTTCTGGTGGAAATGATCAAAGATGATGATGAATTGCAGCTAAAGGTTTGTCATTATGCTGGTAAAATATGGAATTATGGATTCTATCATTACTACATGTTTCTACAACTAATGAAAGACGAGCAATTGGGTCCTAATCTGGAAATGTTTGTTAATACAACAGGTTCACAGAGGCGATCGTTTAGAAGAAGTTACCTTCCATAATTTCGGCTCTCATTATAAATCGACTTTTATGTCGAAAGATCACTCCACTGTCGACTTCTTTCTGTTTGACGATTTCCCATATATTTTACTGATTGAAGTTTATGGTTGCAACGATAAAGATTGCTTAAAAGATCAAAATGAGAGACATTTTCACTGCTTTCAAAGTGTAAGTTACAGTCTAAATTGACATTAAGGTATCGAATCATGCAAAATTGGCTGTTATAACACGGTACCATTGACGATGTTTTTAATATTCCTAATGATTCCGCTTACTACTGATTTCATCTACCAGTTATTATCTTCTCCCCCTATTGAAGTATAACAATTATTTTGCAATAATTTCTACATCCACAGTTTAGTTGCACTCTTACGGTGGCCGAGAACACTGTAGAGGAAGTTTGCACGCTGTAGAGCATGTTTTTACTGTAACATGGTGGCCCTTCTCGGCCACCGTACACTCTGTTGCAAATGCTGAATAGGATACCTAGATATGAACGTGGAAGTTATCATCATCCAGTTTGCTATTCCCACCGTAATAGCGTAGATTGCTTTTGTAAACTATTAATCTAACTCTAGTTGGGAAAGTAGTTGATGTTATATGTTAGTATCACACACTACTAGTGACAGAGTAAGTCCACATACGCCAGTGCTAACGAAGAGCGCCTCTTACTGACTTAAAGAGACGACATTAGCTATATCACTAAATAAATCAGTTCCAACGACTGAATACTATATTACAGTTATAGCATCACTGATAGTATAGACGAGGTGGTCAGAGAATTCCTACTATTTATTACTGAAAAAATCTTGACAACCAAGATTAGTCTTGACGATTCAATAGCAATTGACAAATTAGTTGACAAACTAGCCCACTAACTAAGTAAAACGTGATTTCAGGCACCAGTCTTTTATAGTCTCGTCAGAAGCTCCTGAAGCACACAAAGTAAGACTATCTTTCTAGAGTTATATGAATTATTATAAATATTGCCAGTGCAGACTTTATAGAAGATAATTAATTAATAACCTTTATTATTAAGAACTAATAATAAACTAATAAAGAGCTTAACTCTTCACATAAAATGACAATTTAATACCTTAATAATATAATTCATTAATGAAATCAATTGTCAACTATACTACCAGAGAATTATCATATTAATAGCTAACAAATTGTAACAGTTAGCAAAGGTGTTAGCTTTGCTCTATGAAAATGTAAAGAATTATATCAGACTAAACTTAACGATGAACAACTTTCAGGATCTGTTTTGCTTACGATACTAAATCATAAACACCATTGCAGTCTCCATTTTCGCTCGGCTTGCCTACTTCTATCAAATAAGCAAAATTTTAATTTTTTCATAGCATTAAATCATGAACGCAATTAAAGTCAAATTCTCATTGCTAGTCTTATGGTATCAATAGACAACTTTTAAGATTTGCCTTCCTTGCTCCATTAAATCATTAATGCAATGACAGTGGTTATATTTCACTTTGCTTGTCTAGATCTACTGATAGACAACTTTTAGAATTACTATTACTTGCAGCATTAATTAATTAAGGTTATCTTTCTTCATTTGTCATAAACATAATGGAAGATGTTGATAATCTTATTTTATGTTATAGCTGAGAAGATTCGACGATCTGGATCATGATTTATGGGTTAATGAAGTCTTGGTGAACGATTTCAAATATAAAGAATTTCAGCCTCTTCCCGAGGAAGAGATATCCCCTTTCTTAATGGATGCCACACCAGAGCAAACAGCAGAAATCCAACGTTACAGTTTCCTAAAAAACGCAAGGCCTAACATTAAATTTCAATCCTTATATCGTCAGTATGATAACCAAGTAATGATCATGATTACGGTGAGAATTAGCTGCATATTATAATTAACCCACATAATTACATCAATAAATCTTTCCTAACAAAATAGGCATGCACGAGACTAAAAGCCAACTAGGCTTTATTAATTTAAACTCTATTAATAATTTTTTACCATTCTAAATACTGCTAGCAATTTACTGCATATTTTAATATAATTAAAAAAAGTGGCTTGGAATTACAGTATGTTAACGTCGTAGTAAAATTAAGCTTCGTCATCTTATGTTAGGAAAGTCGACGACTAATCATCTTGTTCATGAATGCAACAAATGGCGTTATCACTGCTAAACACGTGGAAGAGATCAATGAGAGTACTCCAGAAATTGCTTATTTAGCAGATGAAAACTTTGTTCTTTATGATGAATCCAATGAACAAGAATACTCTGACGACGAAAGATTCTTCACGGTATGATAACTACTTATGCATCAATATTTATTGATGCCAATTTGAAAACATGGATGATATCTACGCTTATCCCGTTCATGAACGCCGTCTAATTTTCTTTGGATTAATTACGAATTTTTACGGTCTTTACAACATTTAATAAGCTGTATAATTCCAATACACTTAGCTTAGTCAATCTCGACTATACGACCATAACATTCTAGAAATCAAGATTAGGAGATTTTATCCAATCAGATATTGATTAAAATCGTCTGGATTCTTGACGTGAAAATGTTTACTATGTATTTGCAACTCTATTCTTAGCTGCACAACACAAGTAGAATGGACTATTACAGCTCTAAAGATGTTTACGTTTATGCTTCTCCTAGATCTAGAACTGCAATCAACATTGCAACATTTTACCATTTTTTTGCTAGTATGAATATTATAATTAGCTACTTATATTTTGACCAGCTGTGTACAATTTAATATAGTACTGCAATTGCTGAGATATGGGCTCACCCGTAGGCCGTAGCCAATATGTTGCATTTTTATATATTGAAATTTAAAGCCTGCTGAGACTGCAATAAAATCGAATAATCAGATTTCTTACGCTTAATTGTAGCATAATATCATGCAAAATATCATAAAACTTCAATCTTTGGACCTGTGAATGCATAATATAGTAGAAGTAATTAGCTAGAAAAGCATTAACAAAAATTCCGACATCTTCATATAAGTGTGTTGCTATCACTTGTCCAATTTATTGATTTCCTATCAGTTTTGGATAGTAATGTACTCTTTAATATGTATCATAATTTAAATTGAAATCGATTTTGTCAAGGGATATGATTTATACTTATGCTTATATCTGTTTCATAGAAATACAGTATGCAAGCTGGCAATATTCAAGCTGTGCAGCGTGTTAAAGCCAAAATATGCGATGAAGAAGAAATGCCGGTTTCTTCTTATTGCAAAATGACCATTTCTGATGACAACAAAGATGTCCAGTTGACCGATATTCTCTTAGTTGACGATGATGATAAAATCAAGGAACAATTTGGATTAACAGACTGGAGAATTTCTGTAAGTAATGTTGTTCTCTTGCATTCTGTAGCTCGGGGCAAGGCTCCATCCTATCGATTCGTAACTTCTCTGATTAACATAGACTTACTTTTGTAAATTGAATCTTGCATAGAAAATGGAAAAATGTTGCCGTGTTTTAGGTGTCTTGATTCGTAAAGGAAATCAAGCTTTGGTATGTTTTTCAACGTTGTTTGCCTGTAGCACTTGAAACATTAAGTGGCTTTGTATAGGTTTTAAGCTTAAACCAACCCATTCTCAATGACCTTATTCTGTGTTGAAAAGGTATCTCGCAAACCTTGGCAAGGCAGTTATAATCAAGCTACTTTCTATGCAGGCGATCGAAAAATCTATTGCGAATCAATTCCTTGTCACCTACCTCATTTATGGGATAAAAAGTATACCATTACAACTGAGGGTAATGGAATTGAATTCTATGATAATGCAACGTTGCAGCTAAAAAAGAAGTATTCGCCGACTTATTTTTCTAATGAATATATCACTTCTGTTCAAGCAAGTCCTGATGGTAAAATAATTACTTTTACACAGCCTCATGGTTGCTTGAATATTATTAAAGCGATCTTTTAAAGTCGATGTATTTCTTGCAACGGATTATATAAAGTAGTGATAATGAAAAAGTGATTGAAAAGATATGAGCATGCAGGAAATATCAATAGATTGATTTTCTATAACTGGTAGATGGTAATATTAGTACGAGCACAGTTCATTCATGATATTGACTAGGCAGAATATTAGATGCTCTTCTTTATTGTAGGAGCCTATTAATCTGGATAAATGTTTAAAACTCTTAGAGAATTAGAATATTAGGAAAGGTTATTAATAAAAGGGATATATTTTGGATCAATTTATGGATTGAAGCTTTGAATTAAAATTTGAACGTTTTTCTATAACAACCGAGTTTATAATATTATAAAAATGAACAGCGTATTTTTAATACGTGCGAAAATAAAACTTGCCCTTTTATTATGTAGATTACCTTACTGATTTAAATGACAATTACGCTACAAAGTATCCGTTATTCTAGCTCATAACTGTACTAAAGATAGAGACTCGGGCAATAGGTACCTTTGCACCAATTTGCCTTGATAGGTAAACAGGGAAACCTTATCGTTATCATCGGCTATTATTATCCATTATTGTCGGTATTTTTGACATCCTCTTATAATAAGACTCAACCGTAGTAAAGCCAGAGAAAGCCAGATATTCAAGCTATAGGTACTGTAGCATCAATTTACTTTGATGGATAGGCAAGGAAATGTTATCTCAGATCCAAAGTTATGAATAAAGCCAGAAATAGTCCACAAAATAAAGCAATTTCGATTGAATATCATTATTTCTAATTCTGTATATCGCAAAGTCGATGATAGTGGACAGCGATATTATACCTTTGATATAAAAATAAAGGTACCATTATTCGTTTAACATCAGACCGTCGTTTCTCAGCTATTTCTAAGCGATAATTGTATCTACCCTGATCATGATAAGTCACGATAGAGCTGTAAGTTAATCGGGACTAGCGCTTAGGTACATATTGATTATCGAATATATAATATAAAATATTGTTCACCATTACAATCAGTCGTAATCGCGATCATCATCTACATTTCATCGCAACGTATAACGTATTCCGTAACTTGTGGTCATCCAGACTGGATACTTCTTCCGTCAGAGCATTGGGCACACGGTAATTGAAGTTTATTTTTAAAGAGGCGTAAGAAGAATTCAGTAGTAAGCGGATATAGGAGAAATATTCAATTTGATAAAATAGCTTTTTCAATTCGTCTATTGGAATTTTCTGGTAAACGCTACTGTACGAGCTCGATGAAGTATACACTCGAAGAAAGAGCTGAGATGGTGCGACTTATGCACAAGTATGAGTCGTATATCTTAGCAAAAAGAGCATTCCAGGTCAAGTATCCTGGATTAAATCCGGCAGAGAAAACCTTTAAATACAACGTGAAGAAGTATGCAATGACCCAATCATGTCATCGAAAAAAGCATAAGAAGAGACCGAACTTGGTAGGACAACGAACACCAGTTATTCAGGCCATTATTGCAAACAATCCACGTAAATCAATAAGAGAAATAGCACGGGAAACTGGTATTCCAAGAAGTTGTGTGCATCACATTTTAAAATTAAAACCATATAGAAAAGTCCATCGTCATGAATTGTACGATAAAGACTACAAGAAACGTAAGAATGCATGTGATGCATTTCTCGAATCCATTCGACTTCAGAATAATTGGATGTATAATATCATATTTACTGATGAGGCAACGTTCTACACCAACGGCACTGTGTGCTCACAAAATAACAGTTGGTGGAGCAAAGATAAACCAAACCATTTTTCTATCAAGTCGAAACAAGCTAAGAAAGTTACAGTCTGGTGTGCCATTTATACGAATGGCATCATTGGGCCATATTATTTTTATGAACCTGTTTGCGGTGTAAACTATCTTACCATGTTGCAGCAATATGCGATACCTAAGATTAAGCAATTAGGCCTTCTTGATACCTGCCTATTTCAGCAAGATGGCTCTCCAGCCCATTATACTCGAAATGTCATCGATTTCCTTCACACTACCTTCAAAGGTAGGTGGATCGGTAAATTGAATATTGCACCGATCACTTGGCCGGCACGTTCGCCGGACCTTACCCCACTTGATTACTTTCTGTGGGGATACTTAAAACAACGTGTCTATCAACATAATTGTCGTCAGGATATTCCCATTCTTGAAAAAGTTATTGAAATGGAATTAGGCACAGTCACGCAGCAAATACTACATAATGTATATGAACGTAACCGCATGCGAAGTCGGTCATTTTGCAAACTGCCCAGTTTACAAAATATCTGTCCGTATTGTCATTTTGCAAAATGCCCGGGCAGTTTGCAAAATGTCCGTCCGTATTGTCATTTTGCAAAATGCCCGGGCAGTTTGCAAAATGACCGACTTCGCATACGGTCACGTTCATATACAATGCATTCCTTAAAAGAATACGGAAATGTGTTTCAGCTGGCGGAGGTCGCATTGAGTTATAAATTGGATGTTATGATTGATCTATTTCATTTGATGTTCCTTTTTCGCTTTCAGTGCTTATCGGAATGTATTTTAACTTGTGTTATCATGTTCTTGAATACAAAAAATAAATTGCCGACTATGTCCTACCATACTTATAATTTTGAAATATTTCTCAGCTTGCCTTCAATAAATAGACTTCATTTGCGAAGTAATGTTTACGATAAATTACAAATATGTCAATGTATGCGATCATGTTTGTTTTTGCGTTGGCTTAACACTTTTGAGTAGTAATTCTATTTCTGTGAACTCTGTCTGCTATGGCGATACCATTACTGTATATTTGCAATGTTATTTAATGTTATCGTTCATGTAATTTCGGTAGCAAGATCATGTACTTCGTTATTACATATTGATACATTAAAGGTTAACAAACTATTATTTTCAAATTGAACTACGCCAAAAACTTCTTTCAAGCGAAAAGTATTGCCTTGATGTAAACAGGAGGTTCTTTTGAACCATAAGGCTTACAGCACATAAGGTACCGGTAGTTTCCATCCTATTTTATAAAGTAGTGTCATATTGATCTTTATGAATCTTGCAACCTTCCACCAAATTTACACGAAGAGCATTCTGCTCGTTAGATATTTCATTTTCAGATTACTATTTAAATTGTATGAGTAATAGGAAACTTTTCGTCCTATAAAAGTGAGACGAATACTACCAGGTGAAATCATATACGTCTACTGTAGCTGAGATTACTACCATTTATTTATTTTAGGTTCTATTTATTTATTTTGCCTTTTAATTCTGCAGTAGTGACACTAGTTGCTGTTGCAGCCAGGTAAATACGATGCGAGTATATCTCAAGCGACTCTATTTGCTGTATTAAGTCTTAAGGGTTTTACCGTATTTGCTATTAAAGACTGAGATAGCCTTAATTTCTCGATGGATTCTTCTTTTAAGCTACACAACAGCTTATGTTAAAAGGCCTCTAAAGATTCGAGCATAATGTTTATTAAGCTCAAAATTGTTAATAATGTAATGGACCAATTATAGCGGAAATGATGCGAAACAGTGATGAATTACAATTGTACGTTATCGTTATTTCATCAAAATAATACCTGTAAACTGCAGAAAACAGTAATGCTCATAGCTTTAATTATAAATTCTGAAAGTTATGAGTGCTGCTATCTTCTGTAAATTATTTAACAATGACTCAGTAGGATAGATCGACGGAATTTTGTATGTAGTCCATAAATAAATTAATATCTCTAGCGCTACTTTGAAATAGTGAACCAATAATTAGTCTCTCAGTTTGGCGGTTAAAATAGTTTATTGCTTAAATAATACTTTTGAGTACTAAAGGAGTAAAACTTAGAGCAGGTAACTAGCTCTGTACGTACGCTTTTAAAAGAGTCAGCCTTAATATGCTTCTTTGCTGCATATTGACAAACAAGCATTCATCTCTAAAACTATCCACCAATGGTACACCACTATTTTTAAGGTCTAAATATAATCCTTGACACTACTAGTCCACTTAGGACTAGCACCGCCTCTTACATACTGTACAATAAAATTACCGTAGGTCTTACTATGAAATCTATTTTATTACCGATCTAAAATCAATATTGAGAGATATGCTAACTACGGTAGCGAACCAACGCCCATCAGAAACATCCAAATCAGTGAGAGTTTCAATGTTCTCGTGGTAACAAAGTAAATAAAGCATAATAAATTCTTGATGATAGATTAACTTACTAAATCAGGTAGGATTGGTTCATTTTATTATCATCTTTATTGAGTGATGAAAGTAGAAAAAAGAGAATGATTATCCAACAGTCCCATTCAATTATAAAGCAATTAGTAGCTGATGAAAGAACCGCCACCGATCATGTGGTCCGGGAAGAATTTAGAGATATAAAGAGGAAAGTACGAGATTGGAAGGTATAAATAGAACATGTGGTAATTTACAGCTTTCTAAAGCCCTCTAGCTGGCAAGAAAGTTAAAAGATCTTGCCTTTTGCGACCTGTTTTTACTGTCATCAACAAATAGGCGAAATGGAGGTATTACATTTTACAGGATTCCACCCTAGCAATAATCGTTCTACGGTAATGCACCCCTATTCCGTATTCATTGTAATGAAAGATAGAATTGGATAGAATTGATGACAATCATATTATAACAGGGCAATGCCCCTAGGCTTTCACGAATACGTTGCAGTCCAGCAATTTCCAAGTTGATGAAAGCCAACGAATTGAAGATTTGCCAAAACATCCCAGTATCAGTCATGCGTCAAAAATTAGTGGAATATTCAGTTATCGAGGAAGATAATCTACAACATACCAATGAAGACGATGATAATAGTAACGAAATTGCGAAATTAATATGGAAGAAATTACGAGATGGCGGCGATCGAGGCTTCTATATTTTTTGCAACATATTAAAGGAGCAATCCGATGAGCAACTTCGATTACTTGGGTTGCAACTCAGCAATGATGCAAAGAAAATCACGGCTCTTTCAGATGATGGTATTTTATAGCATAGAGTTACATTTTTAACGTTTAATAGATAAACGTTTCTGTAGTGAAGTTTGCTCGATATGATTTTCGTACCCAATCGTTTCCTTAATGTATTTTGCCTCATATCTTAACATAAGTTTTGTTGGATTCTTTTGGCAAGGTCATACCGTCTGCATATGACACTGTGAGAACTCAGCGGAATTTCAGACGCTAAATTCATTTCATTCCAAAATTAATAAAAATAACATATAGTCATACCGTATGAGTGACTTGTTAAAATGCTTTAGGATAGTCGACTTTTTACATCTGTCACGGATAACGATCAGACATCTTTGCTCAATATCAGACTAGAACAGTATTTATACTAAATGATCGCATTATTCGCATACAGACCTCCTACGAAATGTTCCTCCATTACCACAAATTCATTTTATTGTACGAAACGATTTTGTTAATCAAACTGCAAATGCAATCATGAAAATTCATGCAAGAGGTGGTAGATTGCTCGTTTATGGTCCATCTGGTACCGGTAAAACTGTTGCCGTGAGTAATTGTTTACAATACGTTATTAGACAGAAACAGCAATTTCTACCTCATGGCGTCTATTGGATTACGATCGGTAGGTTTAAATTGCATTAATTTGACCGAGAAATATTATTATTTTCATTTCAATGCATTGCATCAGGCATATTATGAAAGGGAAATTGAGTAAATATATATCTATGACTCAGTTTCCGAAATTAAATTTAACACTCTTAAATTATGATCTCTTTGAATTACTTAGGTAAGGTAGATAAGCAAAAGTTGTTTGAAATACTAAGCAATTTGATGATCAAGCTGGAAATGAGACCGCAGACTTTTCCGAGCTTGAAGCAACTCAATCAAGCAATTTCTAATCACTTAGAGGGTAAATAATATAATTTAGTTATACTTTCTTACAATGATTATAGTACTGCCAACGAGAATGATCATTCTACTTCCTTAAATCGATCAAGCAATAAGTTTCACAAGTCGTTTAAGATACAGAGATTATAATTCTGCTTTAAAAATAATTTGTAATATTATTTAATTCCATAGCGCTGTCAGATTTATCCTTTACGTTATTCATCTTTGATGAAGTGGAAGAGCCATCTTATATGGATTATTTGACATTCGCTAAAAATAGTGTCGTTATTTCTACACAGTCTAGTCAAGCTGTGATTGAAAAATTCGATTACAATATCCAATCTCAGGTAAGTTTCCGATTAAATATATTTACAAGTATAGCCTTAGTAATTATGTTTAGGTATTGCAAAAGTATTTAAAGCAGTAATGGGTAATGGAATAACCTAAATTATTAAATCTTTGCTGCATTACAGCACAGTAGTTATCTAGTTCATGTAACTAAAATTGAATAAACTTACAAGTATATCCTCAGTAACTCAGTTTAAGTGTTGCAAAAGTATTTAAATTAGTAATGGAATAGCCTAAAGTAGTAAATCTCCCTAGTATTAGAATAGTTATCTAGTTCACGTAACTAAACTTATGTGAGTAATAATTTTCTTCTAATAGGAAAGCTTTACTCAACAAGAGGCTTTGCAAATTATAGCATCATTTCAAGAAAATGCCAAGACGCAATCATGGGTCAATGATGACATCGTTAAGCAAGTAGTAGGAAAGTATCGATCAAGTCCGCAAGCAATTGCCTTAGTAGGTGGAGCTCAACTAAAATCCTTGGACGAATGGAAAGAAGTTCAAGCTTTACCGGAAGCAAAGCGGACTACGAAGCAGTCAGAAAACACATTCACATTATTCACTCATATCATGAATAAACTACCAGAACGAACACGAAAACTATTTACACTACTAGGTGCATGCTTTAGAGTTAAAATTCCCGTTGCCGTTATCACTATATTGTGGAACTTACCGGCTGATCAAGTCTCAGTAATACTGCAAGATTTACATCGACGATCATTACTATCTTATGCTAGTGAAAACGATTGCAGGTAATAGTAAAAGGAGCTAATAAACTTGAAGTAGCAATAGAATTTTATATTGAAATTGTGAGATTAGAATTAATTTAAAAAAAAGGAATTTTAAAGTTATGACTTTCGTTCCACTTGAATCTAACTCATTAAGTATTTGTTACAGAATGATTGCAGTAGTAGCATATCAAACAGATACCGGTACGAGCATATTACTAATTGAATCCCGCACTAAAAACTTGTAGGCCTTATTGCCAAATCAATAACTTAATCATGGACTACTTGCAGTTACCTTCCAATGCACAATATGTTCAATCGGATTACATGAAAAATTTACATCTCAATCTGATTAATCAATATCAATTGCATTGCGATGAAAATTGGATACTAAAAGAAGACGATGGCTACTTTTATCGCTACTTCATGAATCATCTGATGGCAGCTGAAAAAGACGATATTATTCAGCAAATCTTATCAAACAGTGAATGGATCAACAATCAGTTAAAACTACTCAAACAACCTTCATTCTTATATGCTAATATGGAACAGATTCAGGACTATTTGCAAAGAAAGGTATATTAAATTACGTAGAATAAATTCTTCTGTTGAATAGTTCTTTCGTGGAAGTCAATGCATTCTTCAAATTTCAGAATTGTACTTTAACATCCTTGTAGAAGAAGAGCCTAAATAATTCTTTAAAAAGTCGTAAATTTAGTGTATTTTGGATTCAAATATGATATCTTCCAAATAAATGGGATAAATATGAATAGAAAGTTCTCCTTTTGAATAATTTTTGTATAATATATATATGTATATCGATACATTTTATGCAATCTTTAGAAACGTTCCTCTAACACATATAAGCGGATTAGGCTTATACTGGTAATGATTTAAAATACAGCTTATCCAGGCTATTTTAGATCAACAAGACAGTCTTTTAGGCAATAATCCATAGCCATGATATAATGGAATAAAGATTAAATTTCTTCATATAGGATTTAGATTCGACTTCAAAGCCATTAGAATTCTTGAAAAGATTTGAAAAATTTCTACCGAAAAGTGATCCAGATCTACTGCAGTTAATTTTAGATTTTGCACCTAGCGACAGTCCTCTGCGTCAGCAAGCATATAAAAGTGCTCGTCGATTAAGCAAAGAAGGGAAAGGGATTTACCTGAAATTGAGGTTGCAATAAATCATACTTTGCCTATATATTATTAAGAAAAGACTGATTTAAAATGAAGTCTTTACTAATCTGTAGATTAATGTGTATCTAACTATTATAATTAGCTACTCCGAAAACAGAAGTCCTGAAAATTTCTACGACATACAGAATTTGCCTGAGGAAGAAGAACCAAATGTAAATAGATCAAGTTAATGCTACCTAAGTTTACTTTATCTCGTCATTATCGTATATTACCGTTAACTTACTGGAGATAAAACTGTAATACGAATAATCATTCTTGCACCGATCATTGCTAATTTTAAAGCAAATTAAAAATAAGACAAGTTAATTTAGGAGTATTATATTGTTAATATTTTTACAGTTACGGAATTTAGTTATCGAAAGAGGTAATCCATACACCTTGTTTGAAGGCAAAATTTATCGTTATGCGGAAAGCTTCGATCATAAAATGAAAGCGCGTGGATATGGCCCAGTGAGTAATTCATTATTGCCTTGGCACTTGGCAATACTTTATTTATGCATTTTCATAATAAGTCGAAGAAGAGTTGTCATACATTTGTGGTATTGTTTGGAATTATTCGAAAATAGATGGAACAGAAATGTTTTAAATTGAGTAGTCCATGTTATCGCATTTAAGTAAATGAGAAGGGCTATTTTTTGCAGAGCACTTATTCTTCTTTACAAAGAAATAGTCTTTGCAGTATTTACTTACTAGTAATACAGTAAGAACATGCATCACCTAGCTATCATTTATTGCTATGTATTTATTCTCCATTGCAATGAAAACATTCATTGCTGTTTCCTGATGTAATACTACAGAGTTTATTAGTAACTTTAAGTACATAGTATTTATTCTCCATTTGCAACGAAAATATTCTTTTCTATTTACTTGAGCAATACCAGTATCATATGATTTGTTAGCACCATTTTTTGTAAATTACTTATTCTTCATTGAAACCGAAATATTTATTGCTGTTTATTTGTGCAGTATTACAAGCTTTATTAGTGACATTTTCTGAAGCAATTTATTCTCATTTACATCAAAGAGAGAAATGGCTATTTATATAGACGATATTACAATGTTTTATTAGCAACTTGTCCAGAAAATCTATCGTTGAACAAACATTGCCTGTGAGGATTCATTCTCTTTTACAGCTATGCTCTGATACCTTTTAATCTATTAATTAGTTTCGTGGCATGAACATGTATCGATTTAGTTGGGAAATTGTTTCGGTTGAAGAAGGTTTGCAATTGCTATTTATTCTGGAAAATGGTGAAAAAGCAACACACTTAGAGGCTTGTAGCGTCCAATTTCTTGAGAGAAGTAACACATCGTTTGTTACTATTTCAGAAGAAAAGCATCAATTGCACGTAAGAAAATAAATTTGTCTACCATCTGTATTAAATTGGTAGTTTGTATTAATTATTGCACGCTATAAGTCGCAAAGAAAAGCATTAAACAAGCCGCTATAACGATACTAATCAATTACTTGCTACATCATTTATATTCATGGCTCAATTATTTATATATATGATATTCTATACTGTACGTATACAGCAAGTATTACAACCTACGTTAAGTAGCACTTATACATGTGATTTCTCTAATAATAGTCTAGCCAAAAATATTCAAGTTTCATTTTTAAATCAGAGTTGCTTATGTAGATGCGCTGATATTATTCTGAACTTAGCTTTAGCTATAGCAAGTAGAAATAGAATAATTTCTTGTTTTAGTTCCGAAATTATCATTTATTTTACGCTGAATTTTGACAACTCTAAGTCATATAAGAGCATTATTACTACATCCAATGATTCTAAACATTCAAAAATAGAATTTTATTCATTTCTTAAGACTGCTGACCTTGACTTACCGATATTTTCTCATCTCATTTACGATAGCTATGGGAAATAAAAGATGGAATGATTCATTGCATAAGAAGTTCTACTCCTACAGAATTTTACATTAACAACTTTTCCTTTGTACCCGACACGACTAATATACTTGTGGCGATAGAAAGATATCAAAGATGGAATATGTATATGCCCAAAGACTTGATCAACGAATGCTATATTGAGGTGAGTTATCCAATACCAATTATAGTGTACATAAGGTATTTCATTGCCTTGATTGCTCTACTATATTAGCATATGAATACCATCATCTCAAAGCTAATATTTTAGTGTATCATCTATACTAATTAGTTAAGATCATGGCTAAAAAATGTATCTATTATTCAGGTTTGGACACTGAAAAATCTTCAGCCTATCTCAAAGATAACAGTGCCTGCTAGAATGAATAGTTCATACAAGCCTCTGACTGGAAAGCCTGATCCAAGCGATCATTTAATATCCTATGTTGGCCCGTTCGATGATAGCCGTTATTTAATATCTTATGGAAATATTAGCGGTTTACTGACTATTGAAAATTGTCGAGATAAAACGGAGAAAGATTTCGCTAACCATTGGTCGGACATGTTTAAGATAATCGATAACGGTTATACTCATCTTGCCATATCAAAAGACAAGAAATATATTGCTTGTATGTCCTACTTCGGAGATATTCTGGTAGGTACATTGAACGACTGAACAATTTAGTATAGGCCTTAACATTAATCACTTTAAGTATAGTGTCATATTTACTTTTTCACCAGGTTAAGGTTACCTTAGACAAGCAGTAGTTCTATCTTTACTTTTAGCTTCTATCCTCTCTTAAATTCCTTACATCTGGCATTACTTCATGTCATAAATAAGATCACCTTCATGCTAAATATACCGTTATAGGAATTAAATACATATTACCTGGGTGCTGCATATTAGTGGAGTGGCTTGTTGTTATCACTTGTCCCTTTCTTGTCATCTCTTCACTCTTCAGTTTGTTTTGATAGGCTTAAATAGAGTAGTACTACGAATGTATATTCATGCAATTGCTTCATGATCTATTTTGCCGATTTTGATTCAGAGTAAAGTTTTTAACCTACCTTGATTAAGTAGGAATATTGCGAAATGATAGCAAATATTCCTTTTACCTTAATATCATATCAGGATCGTTTTGTGAATGTATCTCCTTTTATGTTCTGTTTAGCGTCTTCTTTCTATCCCAGTATGTTTTCAATTTTAGCATAATAAAGTTAAATACTTCATTGCTGCTACTTAAATATCATTCTGACTGTTTTTTTAATTTTTCGATGGCATTTTGTTGTTGTAGTTCTATCAGGTTGGTCCCAATGAGATTACGTATTATTCCATGATTGTATGCGAAAATGGCAATTCCCGAATATCTTTTGTGGATGATAGCTATGATATTATGATCCACTTTGATAACACTCGTCTTTATTATGCCTTTCCCAGTAAGTCTCACTACGATTAATATAAATTAGTGTAAAGCGAGATGTTCCCAACTCATTTCTAAATTTGATGATGAATGCCCGTTTTAGCTACGTATAAACCAATATCAACGCAGGGACAGGCCAACGCTGGTAGAAATTATAATTTGCAAGTTTCCAAGAACAAAATTGTTAATAATGTACTAGTCATAGCGGAAATTATCAAAACAGAAGATAATTTCCAGCTAAAGGTTTGTACCACCACGCTACAGAAATATTGGATATCAAATTCTGCCGGTATCACATCTTTCCGTAGCCAAAGTAGCAAAGTTACTTGAGTCCTAATTTGAAAATTTTTGTTAATTTAACAGGTTCACCGAGGCGATCGTCAAGAAGAAGTTTCCAGTCATCATTTTGGCTCTCACTATAAATCGACTTTTGTATCCAAAGATCACTCTACTGTCGACCTTTTTCTATTTGAAGATCTTCCAAGTATTTTGTTGACTGAAGTTTATGCTTGCGAGAATGAAGATTGCTTAAAAGATCAAGACAAGAGACATTATCACTGCTTTTATAGCGTAAGTTACAGTCTTATTTAAATCTAAAGTGTCAAATCATGGAAAACCACCCAATCAGCTGATCGTTTTTATTTTACACACAGCTATATTATGAATATTCCTAATAGTTCCGCTTAGAAGTAATTTTTTATCTGAATAACATCAGAATATGCTATCGTTAGTGTTATAATCGTTTGATTAGAATTTATATGCCGACAGTTTATTTATAACCTATAACACGCAATAAATTGGATAACTAGGTATTCACGTGGAAGTAGTTCATTGGTCCAGTTTTCTATTCCTTTCTTGCATGCATAGACTCACTCTGATAAGTACTAATCTAATTCTAATTCTGGGTGCGATCAATATTGAATATCAGCCAAAGTGTTTATTGCTACTATATTAGAATACAAGCAATGGAGACCTTGAAAATAATTCCAAGGGTAGAAATTAAGTCTATTCTCCATCATCAAGCGATCCTTCACATGTCGATTTGCCTACATTCATCAACGAGCGAATTTCAAAATTTACTTTTTTACCTAATTAAATCATGGACGTAATTAAAATTCAATTTCTCCTTGCACCTCTAATTGTAGCGATGAAATACTTTCAAGATTTACTTTACCTGTGCAATTAATTAGCACAGCTATAGTGATCATTTTTCACTATCCTTGTCTAATATCTATACTACCAACAGACAACTTTCAAGATTTGCTTTTCTTACATATTAAATCATTAATGTCATGTTCCTTAATTGCAATGAGTGGAGTTAAGAATATTGATAACCTCATTTTATCTTGTAGCTGAGAAGATTTGATGACCTTGACCATGATTTTTGGGTTTATGAAATCTTGGTAAGTGATTTCAAGCATCAAGAATCTCAACCACCTTCGGTAGGAGGAATATCTCCTTCCTTTACGATTCCCACATTAGCCCTCGTACCAGGAATGGGAAAATATGGCTTTATAGATAATACTAAGCCTAATATTAGAATTGAATCCTTTTACCGCCAGTATGACAATCAAATAATGGTCATAATCACGGTGAGAATAAGCTGCTTATTAAAATCAAGCCTACATCGCATCTAAAAAGATCCATAACTATTTTAAATAAGTATATACGAGACTAGTCAAGAACTAGGCATTACATAATTATTACATTTCCTTTATTGATGACTTTTTAGCACTTTAAATATTTCTAGCAATTCATAATTTAGTAAGTAATCCCGGACTTACAATATTATAATTGTAAGATATTACATGAAATTAAATTCATGTTAACATGACAGTAAAATTTAGCCATACTATCTTATACTAGGAAAGCCGGCGACTAATTATCCTGTTCATCGATGCTGCGAGTGGGGCTACTACTGCTAAACATGTCGAAGAGATTAATGATATCGCTCCAGCAATTGCTTATTTAGCTAATGAAAACTTTGTTCTTTATCATGAATCCAATACAAAGGTATGCGCCGAACAGGAACGAATCCTCAAGGTATGGTAGTTGCGGATGTATCAATATTTAATTTCAGGCTTTTGAAAACATTGATTTTATCTATTTTGTTGATGAATGCCACTTGATTCTCTTTGGATTAATGGCGAACCTCTACAGTCTTTTCAACTTTTAATAAGATGTAAAATGCAAACCTAGTGATCTTAGTCAATTTCGACTATAGAACCGTGATACCTTAGAAATCAAGAACAGGAAATTTTATACGATCCGGCGTTGATTAAAATTCCCCGGACAGTTGACATAAAATGTTCATCAAAGTATTAGCTGTTCTGTTCTTAGCTCAATACTGCAAGTAGAATGAAAAATTACAGTTTTAAAGATACTTACCAGCATAAATTCCTTAGTTCAAGAGCTGGAATGGCCATTACAATACTTCGCTTATTTTACGAGTGTGAACATTATAATTGGCAACTTACGTTTTGGCGCTCTATTTATAATTAAATATACTTTTTGAAGTACAATATGCATATGTGCTCAGCCACAAGCTATCTGATGTATCTACATATCTATTAAAAATTAAATCCTGGTAGGTTTGGATTGGAAATAAATAATCAAAATACTAATAGGTTTTCTATCTGTCTCAGATATCACAAAAGAATAGAATTAATGAGCTAGAAAAGCATTTACAAACGTTTTCGTATCTTAATATAAGTACCGCTATCATTGACTAATTAATTCATTTCCGATCTCAGTCTTGCAAAAATTTAACTTTTAATGTACAGCATACCGTCATTGCAGGTTAAATGAGTTTCATCGGGGATTATGAATGACAGAGTTATGTTTCTATCTACTTACGTAGAAATACAAGATGCAAGGTAGCAATATCCAAGTTGTACAATGTGTTAAAGGAAAATTATTTAATGAAGAAGAAAGACCAGTTTCTACCTATTGTAAAATGACCATTTCTGAAGACAACAAAGATATCCAATTGACTGATGTTCTTAATGTTGACGATGATGATAAAATTAAGGAACAATTTGGATTAACAGACTGGAAAATTTCTGTAAGTAATATTGATGTCTTATATTCTTTGCATCCTGTTACACGGAGTATGGCTCTATCCTATCGGTGTTTCCGACACCTCTTATTAATATGGGCTTACGCTTGTGAATTAAATCTTGCGTAGAAAAAGGAAGGATATAACCGTGCTTTAGGTATTTTGATTCGTAAAGGAAACTATGCCATGGTATGTTTTATGATGTTGGTTGTTATTATTACTGTTTAAATTTGAAGAGATTTTACATGGCTCCATTATTATATCAACTGATTTTTCAACGGCCTATTTTCTGTTGAAAAGGTATTTCGCGAACCTAGCCAAGGCAGCCACCAACAAGCTAGCTTCTATGCAGGTAATCGAAAAATCGAGTTTAATCCGACTTCTACTTATTTGCCTCATTTATGGGATAAAAAGTATGCCGTTATAGCCGAGGGCAGTGGAATTGAGATCTATGATAATGCAACATTGCAATTAAAACTGAGGTATTCACCGATTCGCCTTTGTGATGAATACGTTACTTCAGTTCAAGCAAGTCCTGATGGTAAAACTATTACCTGCACGCAACCTCATAGTTGTTTAAATATTATGAAAGCGATCATTTAGCGCTGATCTACTTTTTTTCCTGCAGAGTATAAAAGTGGTAATGATAAAATGATAGACAACCTATGAAAATGCTAGGAATGTCAATAGATTGATTTTGTCGTTTATTTTTTCTGTATTTTACAAATAAAACTGTACATCCATAGTTTATTTGTGAAATTGATATGGTAGAAAAATTGCGGTAGGTGTAATTGATTTCGTGGTAAAGAATAAAACAGAGCGCTTTCCATTTGTACTCAGTAAAATGGGCCATTTTATTATAGATATTTCATTACTGATTTAAATTATAATTTTAGGATGAGACAGAGTTAAACTCGTAATACCAGACAAAAGGAGATTGCAGTAATGAGTACCTTAGCACGATTTTGCCTTGATAAGGGAAGGGAATCGTTGTAGGAAGTCAAAACGGTGCTTTGAAATAAGTCATATAGATTGGATAGCATCATTTCTAATTCTTTGCATCGCAAAATCAATGGATGCTACATTAGATAGGGTTTATCATTGCTGTAAAAATAAATGTATCGTTAATCGTTCAACATCATATTGTCATTTCTTGGCTATTCCTAAACGGTGATTGCATCTTCTCTGATCATGATAAGTCACAATGCAGCTTTAAGTTAGTAGGGACTAACGATTGAGTGCATAGTGACGACTGTATCAAAAACATATTGCTAACCATTTGCAATTAGTCGTGATGCCGATTATTGTCTTCATTAGAATACAAGTGCAATTACAATTTATTCCATAGCTCATCTAAATCGGATGCTTCTTTCGTCTGAGCAGAGGATGTGTGGTAATTAAAGTTTATTTTTGACGAGATATAAGAGGAATTCGGTAGCAAGCGATATAGAAGAAATATTAAATTTGATTAAAGAGCATTTTCAACTCGACCATTAGAATCTTCCGGTAAACGCTACGGTATTTTTACTCGATGAATTACTGTATCCACCTGAAGAAAGAGCTGAAATGGTGCGACTTATGCGCAGGTATCAGTCACCCATCTTAGCAAAGAGGGTATTCAAGGCCAAGTATCCAAAATTAAACCCGGTGGAGTAAACCTTTACATACAACGTGAAAATGTATGCGATGACCCAGTCGTGTCATGGCAAAAAATATAAGAAAAGACCGGACTTAGTGGGATAGAGAATACCAGTTATTAAGGCCATTATCGCTAGGAATCCACATAAATCAATAAAGCAAATGGCACATGAAACTGGTATTGCCAGAACCTGTGCTCATCGCATTTTAACTCAAATTTTAAAATTAAAACCATATAAACAAGCCTGTCATCATGAATTGTTCCATAAAGACTACAAGAAACGTAAAGATGCATGCAATACAATGATTGATTCCATTCGACTTCAGAGTAATTGAACGTACAGAATCATATTTACGGATGAGGCAACTTTTTACGCCAACGGTACTGTGGCTTCACAGAATAGCCGTTGCTGGAGCAAAGTTAAGCCAAGTTTCTTTTTTACTAAATCGAGACAGGCTGAGAAAGTGACGGTCTGGTGTGCCTTTCAAGTGAATGCTATCATCGTGATAACTATTTCACCATGTTGCAGCAATATGCGATACCTAAGATTGCCTCATTAGGTCTTCTTGATAACTGCCTATTCCAGCAAGATGGCTCTCCGGCCCATTATAGCCGAAGCGTCATCGATTTCCTCTACAACATATTCAAAGGTAGGTGGATGGGTAAATTGAATATTGCAGCGATCACTTGGCCGGCATGTTAGCCGGACCTTACTCCACTCCATTACTTTCTGTAGAGTTATTTGAAGCAAGGTGTCTATTGACAAACGATTATTGTCCGGATATTCACATTCTTAAAGAAAATATTGAAATAGAATTTGGTACAATCATGCTAGATGTGTTCCATAATGCCTACGAAACATTCGTTAACAGAATACAGAAATGCATTTCTGCTAGTAGAGGTCGCATTGAGTTATAAATTGGACGTTATGATTGGTGTATTTCGTTTGATGTTCCTTGTTCACTTTCAGTACTTATCGGTATGTATTTTAACTTGTGTTCTTCTTATTCTTTGAATGCCAGGATATATTCGGTAAGTATAGGAAATGGTAAGAATGTTAACATTGAATGATATTGCAAAATTCATAGTATAGATGTTAGCAGATGTTACGGCCATTCCTAAGAATGATTTTGTCTTTTAGATTTTAAGGACAAAATCATTCTTAGGAATGGCCGTAACATAGATATTATTAAAATGGACAAAGTTTGTGTTATGAATAGTGAAACATTGTAGCTCTTATTAGTGTATCTTTGGTAGGCAGATTAAGGTAAAATACGCAGTCATAAGATGATAGGGTAATAGGGATGAGTAGCTTAAGAAGTCCCTAGGTTAAGCATATGTAAGGGATATAAATCAGTTAAGCTAACGCAATGAAGCAGTTCTTAAACACCTAAGGTTGTGTGCGTCACTGTGTCGCTATTCGCCAAGGTTCTACTAGTCAGAGACATGACAGTTCGCAGACATAGAATTTGAACTGCAATGGTTTAAGCAAAAGGAAAAATGAACAATATAAGACAGGATCGTAATAGGAATACCGAATCATTAATCCATAACATTTGACATATTAATACGTAAATAGTTAACAGACGATTACTTTCAAAATTGAATTGCATTATTAACTTTCTTTAATAAGGGGAGAGTACTGCCATGTCATTATGCTCTCATGAATCTTACACCTCGCAGTGCTTTGCTTACTGGATTATATATTCAGTTTCAGACTGTTTAAGTTATGCATAACATGAAGCCTTTCTTCCTTTAAAAGTAAGACGAATACGGTACCACTGGGATCGCCATCTATCATGTCTGCTTACTATAAAAAATTGTTTATGTACGCTCTTATCAAGTCCTTTTTATTTAGAGAAGAATATATTTCATTCGTTGAAGTGGTTATTCTTAAATAAGGTAAACCACCTATGGAAGGGAGTCATTCTACGCATTGATATATGACTACATGTAATTCCCTACAACTTGGTTTATGCATTTCAAGCATCGTTCAAGTTGTTATTCTTAAATAAGTTAAATCAACCAAAGATGGGAGTCATTCTACGCATTGATATATGACTGCATATATTTCCCTACCACTCGGTTTATGCACTTCCGTGCAAATTTTGCCCGCTCTAACTAGAATAGCAGGTCCAATTAATCTATTTCGTTTGCCTGCACTGTAGATGATTGATTTTTGTACCCATCATTCACGGCTTTAACTTTGTCAACATATCCCTGTCAGAGATGTATATACGAATATTGGAATATTGACAACATTTACTTTGCTATTGATTCAGGAATATTGCTAAGTTAGAATTAGAGGTCTGAAACTACTGTCATACCAGCGGCAGCAAAGCCTGCAGTAGCGTATTTTTCAGTAATGATCTCCGCGAATAACCGTCGTTGCTGCATATCCTTTGAAAATAGGATACTTTTATACAATAACTCACAGTCTGAAGTGACATATTCTGCTGTAGTTACAATGATTTAAAGGGGAATTATACTTTCAGAATAACTGCTAGATTTAATTTGGTCACTTCTATAGGGTAATTTTAATTAATTGATTGCGTACACCTCAACTTTGCCCATGCCTATTTCCACCTTGTCAGTTTAACAAATACCCTAGCTCAGTTAATTTCTGTTCGGGTTCCATTTGCTCGGTTATACACGGTCACTTTGGTGTTTGCTCCGACTTACTATAGCCAGGTACAGCCAGGTATTGACCAAGAGGAAATTCTGCTCTGTTGTAGATCCATAGTATTTTGTTTTACTCATCTTATTGGACAATCTAATATGATATGTTCTCAATTCACTTCATCTTCTGGGTTACCTTAATAAATGATTCTATTCGTCCGTTAATATACCTTATTTCCTAGAACATTGGCTTCTAACAAGAGATGGCTTTATCATGCGTTGCTTTTGGATGTAAAAATACAAATAAAACTCACCCACAACTTTTATACAATAAATTTCTAGCGAATGGAAAGCTTTAACAACCTTGGATTGCTGCCGATAGGTGTGAATGCTCGAAGCTATCAGAGAATAGCAGGATTTGCAGTGCTCATTTCATGTCAGGTTATACAGATGATGATGTTCACTAAATTGATACTAGAGTAGTATTTGAACGAACGCTACTTCAAATCATTATTATCCGAGCTCGGAAATGCATTCATGATTGGTCCTTGTTTATGCTAAATTGATTTGATCTGATCTTCTAAGTATGTCGAAGGTGTAAAATCAAATTATTGTACCGTACATTCCACATTTTGTTATACCTTATTACTCTGGCTACAAAAATGAATACTTTTAGTATTCGCAAGGATTAATGAATGACTTTTCCATTTATAAGGCAATTCGTAAAATGCAAACCTCCGCAATTTTATTGCTTGTCTACTCTTCGTAGTTTGAAATCAAAAATAGAGAGGCCTATCAATAATTTTGCCTTTCTACTTTGACCACCTCTTGTTGATGGACATTGTCCCAGTTTCACTCACTCTTACAGTACTATATACTGTACTATACTGTAGTGTATCACCGTCAAGAGGAAAGAGATTGTCATACCAAGGACTGTCTTGGATCATTTCGATGGCCATATAGTGTATCGTTTCAGAGATACGGTACAATTGAAATGACCAGCCAAATTGTCGGTGCTGTATTTCTAGTATGGTGAAGGACGGTTTGGTGTTCTCTGTCTATCTGTACTTCCGGTACAGTACAGTGTACAGTACACGAAAGTACAGTATACTATACTGTAGACTGTGAGCGTGACTGTACTGTAAGTTGAATGAGCAGCCATTGGACTGGATTATGATATGCCATAATCGTCCATTTTCTCTTTCATTTCTAGTCTAAGCTACATCAGTCATGACTAGCAGAGATTTTGACATGGATGATAGGTGCAACAAACATAGTTCGTTTGCAACCGCTAATGAACATTTCTGCGTCAAGTTGAGCAGCGATATTTGTCCATTTTTCTCATGGATTTGGAGCCTGCATGAGTATTGATACAAACATAAAATCCCATTGAAGCCTTCGATGTCATACTTTTGCATACAGTACAGTTCGAGGCTTTTTCAACTCCATACAACATAACTATACTATCAAATCCCAGTTGAGCCTGCGATATCATACTCTGTATAGAGGATTTTTCAAATACGACACTACTGTACTGTTAAAATCGTAAGCTAGTGCCATTGAATCTCCGATGTTATACCGAGCATGGAGACTTTTGCAACGATCACTGGAAATCAGATGGTAGTGCAGTCTTAGTCTAAAATGCAATGGAGTTTCCCATGTC